TCGGCCACGGGTGGGGTGGGGAAGAACAAGGCAGGAGCGGGGTCAGGGTCCGCAGAACAGGGTGTAGCAGGGCATGGGCACTGCATGCCCTTCTGTCTGTAAGTTGCTGTTGCCTTCTCTAGACTAGGGGAGTTGCACCTGTGTTACCAAAGTGCCCGAGTCAAACCTGTGCGAAGTCCGTAAAGCAGTGTCACCCTTCGATCACTCTCACTAGCGCTCATCTTGTTCTAGTCAAACCAGTGCAACGCTTCTAGTATAGACGATCCTAAGTGTCTGTGCTTCAGAAACACATGCCCCAACATGTCCCTAGACTGGTCCAGATGCCAGGCCAAACCCAGAAGGTCCTGAGATTTCCCATCTCATCGCTAGAGGTTCTCTGCCCCTGTGGTGACTGGCCCATCACTAGTCAGTGCAATTGTAACAACCTACCTTATCCTCAGGTCGGACTTGAATGCAGGACTTTCAGCACCAAAGCACAAACTACATCCAACTGAGCTAAAGGAGTAACTCCATTAGCTAGCAGCGGTAGTAGACTGTTGTCCTCTTTGTGGAACAGCCGCTAGCGGGGGATACAGTGAACACTTCTCAAGGGCATCTCAGGAGCATGGTAAAGACACAATGCTTACCTCTGTCTTCTTCTGAATTTGCAGCCAGGAAGGTATGTGAAGATGTCGACCTTCCTAGATCCTGGGATGCACACTCTCCAGATAGGTAAGACTTATTCGTGGGTCGGATACTTTGGTACTCAGGTGGGCTGGCGGTCAGGGCCATGTAAGTGCCTAGGCTGGGTACCATCTGTCTTGGAAGGTTTAGACACAACAAATCCTGCATCTTGGCAGGGGGTTAGACTAGATGACCCTGACGGTCCCGTCTAACACTGATTGTAGGTTTCTAGGTAGTTCGATATGGTAGAGACAAGCATTAGTGGATTATAGCTGGCATGCTGTTAGTTAGAGAAATTATTGGATGTGGTCCATGGAAAGAAACCCGGAGCAATGGGACAAAATTAAGAAAAGGAAAACTTAGGCTTAACATCAGGAAAACCCTCCTGACAGTGAGATGTTCTGCTGGGCTGTGGAATCATCGCCCACAGGAAGGGGTGGATGCTTCAGAGCTCAGGGCTCTTCCCACAAGCCCGGTCAGAGCACTGAAATGTGCTGTGATCTAATAGTTCTTTGCCAGCACCTCATAGATTATACCACCAGCAAAGCCCAATGGGGAGGAGAGAGCTCAGTGGTTTGAACATTGGCCTGCTAAACACAGGGTTGTAAGTTCAATCCTTGAGGGGGCCATTTAGGGATCTGAGGCAAAAATCTGTCTGGGGATTGGTCCTGCTTTGAGCAGGGGGTTGGACTAGATGACCTCCAGAGGTCCCTTCCAACCCTGATATTCTATGATCATGTAGTGTGACCTCCTATGTAACACACATCATAGAGCTGCCCTTGATTAATTCATGTTTGAATTAGGGAAACATCCACTCTTGATGTGAAAATGACCTGTGATGGAGAATCCACCATAACTTGTTCCAGTGGTTAATTACCCTCACTGTTAAACCTTGTTTCCAGTCTGAGTTTGTCTAGCTTCAACTTCCAGCCATTGGATCTCGTGCTACCAATGTCTGCTGGCCTGAAAAGCCCTCGGTTCTCAAATTTCTGTTCCCCATGGAGGTATTTACTGCCTGTGACCAAGTCCACCCTGGAAGCTTCTCTTGGTTAAACTAAACAGATTGAGTTTATGTCTAAGATTCTTTGACATCACCGGTGCAAGGATGTAGGCGGAGCTTTACACATTTACTTTATTACAGTGCCCCCCCCCCCCCCCGCTCCCAGCCTCCTCCTGTTACGAAGCCATTGCCGTCCGAGCGGGGTGTGGTTCGAAAGAGAAAGCCAGAGACTGAGGACTCTAAAGATGGGCCTGAACCAAACCAACCCAATATCCTGCAAGGGGGGTTTTATGCGCACTCACATTCTGCAGTTAGCCTCGCTTTCCAGACCTGGCCAAACCCAAGACCTGGCTGCCGACAACTTCACATTTCGGTGGGGTTCCAACTTTTGTGCCAAGTTTCACAGTGCTGGCTTAGCCTCTAGTTAATAACCAGCCTGAAGACGAGCCCGCAGAGCCTGTAGCCACCATAAGAAATGTTACCATAGGAAATATTCTACAGCAGCACCTGGCTTGCGGATCAGCCGTGCCCTGCAGAGTCCTGCCTGGATGGAATATTTTGAGAACCCGGCAGGGTGTGTGTGTGTGAGAGATATGCAGAGAAAATGGCCCAGGAGAGGGATCTGCAGAATGAAAGAGCTTGACAGCTACTTGCCTTCTGTAATGTAGCACATGCTTGGGATGCATCACTACTGTCTTGTGGGCCAGTGAATCATAGAATCATAGAATATCAGGGTTGGAAGGGACCTCAGGAGGTCATCTAGTCCAACCCCCTGCTCAAAGCAGGACCAACCCCAACTAAATCATCCCAGCCAGGGCTTTGTCAAGCTGGGCCTTAAAAACCTTTAAGTATGGAGATATCACCACCTCCCTAGGTAACCCATTCCAGGGCTTCACCACACTCCTAGTGAAATAGTGTTTCCTAATATCCAACCTAGACCTCCCCCACTGTAACTTGAGACCATTGCTCCTTGTTCTGTCATCTGCCACCACTGAGAACAGTCTAGATCCATCCCCTTTCGAACCCCCTTCAGGTAGTTGAAGGCTGCTGTCAAATCCCCCCTCACTCTTCTCTTCTGCAGACTTAATAAGCCCAGTTCCCTCAGCCTCTCCTCGTAAGTCATGTGCCCCAGCCCCCTGATCATTTTCATTGCCCTTCACTGGACTCTCTCCAATTTATCCACATTCTTGTAGTGTGGGGCCCAAAACTGGACGCAATACTCCAGATGTGGCCTCACCAGTGCTGAATAGAGGGGAATAATCACTTCCCTTGATCTGCTGGCAATGCTCCTACTAATGCAGTCCAATATGCCATTAGCCTTCTTGGCAACAAGGGCACACTGCTGACTCATATCCAGCTTCTTATCCACTGTAATCCCCAGGTCCTTTTCTGCAGAACTGCCGCTTAGCCAGTCGGTCCCCAGCCTGTAGCAGTGCATGGGATTCTTCCGTCCTAAGTGCAGGACTCTGCACTTGTCCTTGTTGAACCTCATCAGATTTCTTTTAGCCTAATCCTCCAATTTGTCTAGGTCACTCTGGACCCTATCCCTACCCTCCAGCAAATCTACCACTCCCCCCAGCTTAGTATCATCCAAAAACTTGCTGAGGGTGCAATCCATCCTATCATCCAGATCATTAATGAAGATGTTGAACAAAACTGGCCCCAAGACTGACCCCTGGGGCACTCCGCTTGATACCGGCTGCCAACTAGACATCGAGCCATTGATCGCTACCTGTTGAGCCCGACGAGCTAGCCAGCTTTCTATCCACCTTATAGTCCATTCATCTAATCCATATTTCTTTAACTTGGCGGCAAGAATACTATGGGAGACCGTATCAAAAGCTTTGCTAAAGTCAAGATATATCACATCCATTGCTTTCCCCATATCCACGGAGCCAGTTATCTCATCGTAGAAGGCAATCAAGTTGGTCAGGCATGACTTGCCCTTGGTGAATCCATGTTGACTGTTCCTGATCACCTTCCTCTCCTCCGGGTGCTTCAAAATGGATTCCTTGAGGACCTGCTCCATGATTTTTCCAGCGATTGAGGTGAGGCTGACCGGTCTGTAGTTCCCCGGATTAGCCTTCTTCCCTTTTTTAGAGATGGGCACTACATTTGCCTTTTTCCAATTGTCCGGGACCTCCCCCGATCGCCATGAGTTTTCAAAGATAATGGCCAATGGCTCTGCAGTCACATCAGCCAACTCCCTCAGCACCCTCGGATGCAGCGCATCCGGCCCCATGGACTTGTGCACATCCAGCTTTTCTAAATAGTCCTTAACCTGTTCTTTCACCACTGAGGGCTGCTCACCTCCTCCCCATACTCTGCTGCCCAGTGCAGCCGTCTGGGAGCTGACCTTGTCTGTGAAGACCGAGACAAAAAAGCATTGAGTACTTCAGCTTTTTCCACATCGTCTGTCACTAGGTTGCCTCCCTCATTCAGTAAGGGGCCCACACTTTCCCTGACCACCTTCTTGTTGCTAACATACCTGTAGAAACACTTCTTGTTACCCTTCACATCCCTTGCCAGCTGCAACTGCAGTTGTGTTTGATTGTTGGTGTGTTGGGCTCTGAGCCCAAAGCCTGTCACATCCATTGAAGCTAGTGGGAGCTGCAGGTACTTGGCAGCAATAAAAAGAAAGGGAGTTTTGTGGTTAAAGCGCTAGCGTAGGACTCTGGAGAGTTGGGTTCAAATCCTGGCTCAGGCATAGATACCCTGTGTAACCTTGGCCTGACTCTTTCTGTGCCTTCCCCTCCATTTGTAAAATAGGGGAGATCATCTTTCCCTTGCCTCTTTAGATTGCAAGCTGCTTGTCTCCCACAATGGACCTGTGCAGAGCCCAGCACGGTGGGGCCCCGATCTCAGTTGTGCCCTCTCTGTGCTACTGTGATCCAGTCAGACATTCTCCAGTGTCCAGCCCACCTTCTCCCAGGCAGTTCCAGACTCCCGTCCTTACCACCTTAGCTGGCTGCCTCCTCCTTTCAGAATCCAACAGGAAGCTGCCCACCTGCTCCATTCTGCTCCACCATCCTCTTTGTCCTCCCTTCCCTGCTCTCTCGGCCAGAACCAACCTCTTCTCCTTCCCCATCACATAATCTCACCCCCTCTTCTTCTCTGCAGCTCCCACACCCTCCGGGCCCTTTACCGAGTCCCATCTCACTGCAGACACTCCGCTGAAAAACTCACCGCGCCCCTTTGAAATTTCTCTCTCCACCCGCTGGTATGATTTCTTATTTAGCTCGGCAATTGGATTATGTACAATAGCTCTACACCACGCTTTGCAACGCAGTTGGTTTGATATTATTTATTATTTAGCTGGGCAATTGGATTATGTACAAGAACCCTGCACAGCGCTTTGCAATGCAGTTTGTTTGGGGAGACATCGCCCCAGACAAAATTGTTTCATGGCGTCTCTAGCTCCCAAAGCAGCGGTTTATTAAAGCGTTTCCTAATTCAGCCCTGACTCCCCGCATGGTTCCCACCGGGCTGGTCTCTTCCCATTAAGTTAAAAAGTCCTGACTGACTTTCCTTTTTGTTTAAAATCAAATATTAATGCCCCGGACAGTGAAACCCACTTAGAAAACAGGCACAAATGGAATGAAGCCGTGTCTTCTCAGGCAGTGATTCTAGGCCCAGCCGGTAGCGAGTGACTGTAACGAATCCCAGAAGAAATCGTAGAGCAATGTTCAGAAACGTACAATATCTGCTTTTGCTGCCGCTTTGCTGATTAACCTGGGAGAGGCATGGCACCTGTCAGCTAGTGAGACAGATACATGCAGTGAGCTCAGCCAGCAGCCTTTATCGGGGGGGGGGGAACAGTGCAGAGAGCAGCGCGCTAACCTAAAACTTGGCAAAGCTCGATTCAGTTCCCTGCTCTTGGGCGAGGCATTTCCTTTCCTTGGGCCACAATTCCCCATCTATAAAAGAAGGACACCGGCACTGCCCTGCCTCATAGAGGTGTTATACATCACAGATTGTTCAAGCACTCGTACGATGGCGATGTGTGGCCACAGAAGTACAATAGATTCAACGCGCCCCGAAATGCAAG